TTTTTGAGATGGAGTTTCACTCTGTTGTCCAGGCTGGAGTGCAGTGGCATGATCTTGGCTCACTGCAACCTCCACCTCTCTGGTTCAAGCGATTCTCCTCTACCTCAGCCTCCTGAGTAGCTGTGACTACAGGCGTGCACCTCCGTACCCAGCTAATTTTTGTATTTTTAGTAGAGACATGGTTTCACCATGTTGGCCAGGCTGGTCTCAAACTCCTGAACTCAGGTGATCCGCCTGCCTCGGCCTCCCAGAGTGCTGGGATTACAGGTGTGAGCCACCGTGCCTGGCCCACATTTCTTAAAAGCTGTTAAAATCTGTTTGGCTGTCTTGTGCTCCTTTGTTTACCTGGATGAATTGTGTTTGGGGTGAATTTGGTTGTGACTTTTGGAGTAAAAGGTAAAAACCCACTCTTGAGATAAAAGAATGAATTGATGTGGGAGCACGCTGTGTAAACTGCACTGGTTACAGGGGTGATGGGGAAGGTCAGCTGTGCCTCTTGCAAGGGTCGGAGCGGTCTACGCTAATTTCTAAGCACGACTCTTCTCCACTGGTGTCCAGAGGACCTGGACCTGGGGCCCTAGTGGACAAGGTGCCATCCTGCTGGTGAACTGTGACAGAGACAATCTCAAATCTTCTGCCATGGACTGCGAGGATGAGGAAGTGCTTGACAGCAAAGGTAAAGAGCATTTGCTAGTTGATGGGAAGGGCTTTTTATAAAGCCCTTTTGCCCACACAGCCTGAACCTGGAGGCGGCCCTCTGAAATAAGGGTTATTGAAAGCATATTCTTGTTAGCTTGCCCGTTTTATAGGTGAAGCAAAGGCCCCCAGGAGGCAGGTGACCTGCCCAAGCTCACACAGCAGTCAGGGAAGAGCTGAGGCCAATGCTGTCTCCTGACGCTTCCTGCGGTTTCCATGCCTCACCCTGCTGCCCGACCTCAATGCTCTTAGGTCAAACCTGGAGGCTGAAATCACTGGAAATGAAAACTTCTCATTCCCAAACTCACGTCAGAGCAGCCCCTGAGAACTCTGCCATAGGCCGGGCATGACTCTGAGCACTTTGGAACGATGAACTCATGGGATCCGCCAACACAAAGCTTGTTGGATAGGAAAACCAAGGCATGGAGAACAAAGCAATTTGCCCAAGGTCACACCACTGATACGTAGCAGACTTGGGGTTTGAACCCGAGACGTCCCAAGACCGGAGCGGGTTGAGGGGCAACAGGGTGGTTGGGCAGGTGCAGGGTCTCTGCAGCACACCTCTGGCTGCTCAGCGGTGGCCCTAGGGTTGAAGTGAGTACACATTATCCGCCTGCGCTAAGGGGCTCGGGCTGGCAGGCCATCCTGGGGCGCTCTTAGAATCACATAGAAATGGATGTATTTCCAGGTTCCATGCCGTTGGCCTGGCCTGATGCCAGGGTTCAGCCTTTGTAGAGTGCCAGGCATGCAGTAATAATCACAGCAGCTGCCCTTTGTGGGCACTCCGGGGTTCCAGGAGCTGGAATAAGTACTGTGGATCGCCTCACTATATTCACAACAGCCCTGTGGCGGGTACAACTCTTGCCCCTGTCTTACTGATGAGGAAACAGAGGCAGCCAGAGCGGAAAGCACTTTCCTGAGCCCACCCTGATCCCAGATTCAAACCAAGTTGACCCCAAAGCCTTTAAGCCCTTGTCTGTCAATCAGGCCCTCGGAAACCATCTCTTCAGTTTCCCCCACATCCACCCCTTTCTATGACTCAAGTTGGTTCACAAACTTTGTTCTCGCTCAGGACCAGCGCAGAAATCTTTCACTCATTCATTGCACAAATCTCAACTGAGCACCTGCCACGCGCTGGTCATTGTTCTAGGGAGTTCTCCGCTTTCTAGGTTCCAGATTCAGGGAACGCTGCAAGGAACAAAATATGAATAAATGTGGTCCCCACTTCTCTGAGGTTACATCCCCAGCTTATCCTAGTGGGAGGAGAGCAAAACCTTAATAAGCTCTCATTCCAAAATGAAAACCATCATTTAAATACTCAAAATAGCATAAAGAAAAGAAAACCAGGCAACATGGTAAAGGGAGGTCTCAGGGGAGGGGTGATGTGTGAGGCTCCGCCAGGAGGTAGCTATGGGAAACCAGCGGCCGTCTCAGGGGCCTGTGACTCAGGCGATGCCCTTCTCATCCCAGACCTGCAGGACATGTCCCTGATGACCCTGAGCACGAAGACCCCCAGGGACTTCATCACGCATACACTGGTGCTCCACGTGGCCAGATCTGAGATGGACAAAGTGAGGGTGTTTCAGGCCACACGTGAGTCGTCCCCATCTGTGTTCCCCTCCTGCCCTGGCCAACGGGGCACAATCCCATCACACAGCTGTGTGGCAGGCAAATCCTGAGTGCCTACTACGTGCTGAGTTCTAAGCAGCAGACACAGCAGTGGGCAAGACAGACAATAACTCTGCTACCTTCTAGATGGAAGACACAGACAAAATGACTCGTTATTGTTCCCTGCTTCTCTCTCTCTCTATCACACACACACACACACACACACACACACACACACACACACACCCCTCCTGGTCATTGACGTTGAGTGCAAGCTGACGTCATGCGCCATGTAATCATTTGCTCTGCAACCTCCTGCTCATCAGAGGCATCAGGAACTTCTCAGTGGCCCACGAGCACCTACAACGACGTGGGTGCCAGGCTTGGTCCTAGGCATGGGGCACAGAGCCATGGCTGTGACCAGGCCCCTGTCCTCACGTTGCTTTCATCTCTGTGGCTGGGAGAACCATAGGTAAAATAATTACATAAGACGCCTAGTGTGCCCAACGCTGTGACACGCTATGTAGAAGAACGTGGCAGGGAAGGGCGGGTGGAGTGAGGAGTGGAGTTAGGGGTGTGTGGAGAGACGGTGGCCAGGGAAGGTGTCCCCCATGAGGTGCCGTTTGAGCAGAAGGAGGTACAGGAACAGCCAGGCAGACACCTAGGGGAAGCGCGTGGGCCCGGAGGCGAGGTCGTGCCTGTGGTGTGGTGGAATGCAGAGAGGCCACTGCAGCTGGGGTGGAAGGTGCAAGGGTTAGAGTGGTGAATGGGGGTAGAAGAGACAGGACAGAGGGAGGCGGCAGGTCAGGTCGGCATACGTTGACTTTGGCTTCTGGATGGAAGGAGATGGGGAAGGCCACGGCAGGGGTTTTTTTTTGCAGAGGCCTGATGATCAGACCCTATTCCTCTTTTTTTTTTTTGAGACAGAGTCTCACTCTGTCATCCAGGCTGGAGTGCAGCAGTGCCATCTCGGCTCACTGCAGTCTCTACTTCCCGGGTTCCAGTGATTCTCCTGCCTCAGCCTCCCAGGTAGCTGGGATTGCAAGCATGCACCACCACATCTGGCTAATTTTCCTGTTTTTAGTAGAGATGAGATTTCACCAGGTTGGCCAGGCTGGTCTCGAACTCCTGACTTCAAATGATCTACCTGCCTCAGCCTCCCCAAGTGCTAGGAAATACAGTTGTGAGCCACCATGCCTGGCCTCTGTTGCATTCTTAAAGTGATTAAACTGATAGTGATTTGGTGATAGGTCAATTTATTGCCTCTACCCAGGCATCACCTCCTCCAGGAAGTCCTCAGGGATTTTCTCTATCACAGATACATTCTCTGTCTGCTATTTTGATGATCTCTGCTCCTCGCTACTCTCCCAGAAGACTGTGCACTCTCTGGGGGTGCGGATAGGAGGACAGTGACTCTGTCACCCTGGTCCCCTGCTGTGCCCCTGTCCCCAGCTGACATCTGGCTGGAGCAGATGCTCAGAAGTGAGTGAAGGAATGGTGTATACTGGACTTCCTGTAAAGTTTGGAATGGCTCAGGCACCCCTGCCACACCATTTCTGGGCTTCACCAAAGGGCAGTGTCCCAGCTGGGACTCTGGTCCCTTTCTCCTAAGGGGATTGGCCAGATACGGCTGCAGGTGGTCCTCAGATGAGGGCACATGGCAACCCTGGGAAAGGCTTCTGAGAGGCCCTGGGGAGAGGAGGAAAGGGCGTCAGAAGTGGGGATGCAGACCTGAGTCTCCCCTCCTTTCTCCTAGGGGACAAGCTGCCCTCGAAGTACACGGTAGTCCTGGGTCCCCAGCGGCCCTCTTACTCCCTGATGCTCCCAGGCGGAAAGTGCAACACGAACTTCTACGTGGAGGGCCTCGCTTTTCCGGACACGGACTTCCCGGGGCTCATTACCCTCACCATCTCCATGCTGCACAGCTCCAACCTGGTAGGCTGAGAAGGCAGCGCAGCGTGGGGGTCCTGGGCTTCCAGGCAGTGGCCTTCCAGCACAGAGCCCAGCTGGGCAGGGCGGTTCCAAACAGCTGCTGGAAGTGGTAGGTGCTGGGCCCTGGTGGCAGTGACAGCCCCTCCCTCCCCATCCCCTCCTCCCCTACAGGATTTCCCTGAGACCTTGGTGTTCCAAGACAGTGTGGTCTTCCGCATGGCGCCCTGGATCATGACCCCCAACACCCAGCCCCCGCAGGAGGTGTATGCGTGCAGGTGAGGGGCCGTGGGATGCTGGGGCAGGCACAGATACCCCAGGAGGAGCCTGAGTTCCATCTGCAGCACTCGCTGTGTGATGGGAAAATGACCACCCCTCCCCTGCCCTCTGAGAGCTTGCTGCTTCCTGGGGGCTCTGAAAAGGCAGGGAGGTTCCTTACTGATGCTGTCATTGCCTCTGTCCTGCCCTGATGCAGCTGAGGCTACGTTAGCTCCCAGGGGTCTGCAGAGGTCGCTAGAACTGGACAGTGGGATCCTTCAGCCCTGATCCAGGCCTCTGGTTTCTCAGAGTGTGGCCCATAGAGATTGTGCACCAGAAACTCCCGGAAATTCATTTAAAATGCACCTTTCTGGGCCAGGCACAGTGGCTCACGCTGGTAATCCCTGCACTTTGGGAGGCCAAGGAATGTGGATCACTTGAGGTTAGGAGTTTGAGACCAGCCCGACCAACATGGCGAAACCCCGTCTCTACTAAAAAGTACAAAAATTAGCCTGGTGTGGTGGTGCATGCTTGTAATCCCAGCTACTCAGGAGGCCGAGGCACGAGAATTGCTTGCACCTGGGAGGCGGAGGCTGCAGTGAGCCGAGATTGCACCACTGCACTCCAGCCTGGGTGACAGACCAAGACTCCATCTCAAAAATAATAAAATAAAATAAAATGCACCTTTCTGGCTGACCTCTGAGCTGCTGGGTCTTATACCTGGGGACAGAGCCCTTCTGCATTTTGGGGAGGCCCAGGCATCCCTTCTGTAGCTGAAAGCCCCTGGTAAGTGTGCTGTGGTCTCAGGAGACCCTCTCCTTCCCTCTTCCGATTGATTCAGGGGCAGAAGAGTAAGAGGGTGGCCTGGTGGGCAGGATGCAGGCCGGAATCCACTGAGGCCCGTTTTCCAGTCCCAGCACTGTTCCAGGTGGTGTGACCTTAAACAGTGAACTCACACTCTGTCTTCTCCCAGGCTGTTATGGCTCGGCTCTGTGTCCCCACCCAAATCTCATCTTGAATTGTACTCCCATCATTCCCACATGTTGTGGGAGGGACCCAGTGGGAGATAATTTGAATCATGGGGGTGGTTTCCCCCATACTGTTCTCGTGGTAGTCAGTAAGTCTCACGGGATCTGATGGTTTTATCAAGGGTTTCCGCTTTTGCTTCTTCCTCGTTTTCTCTTGCCGCTGCCATGTAAGAAGGGCCTTTCACCTCCCGCCATGATTCTGAGGCCTCCTCAGCTAATTGGACTATAAGTCCAATTAAACCTCTTTTTCTTCCCAGTATTGGGTGTGTCTTTATCAGCAGTGTGAAAACGGACTAATACAGTAAATTGACACCAGTAGAGTGGGGCGTTGCCGAAAAGATACCCGAAATGTGGAAGCGACTTTGGAACTGGGTAACGGGCAGAGGTTGGAACAGTTTGGAGGGCTCAGAAGAAGACAGGAAAATGTGGGAAAGTTTGGAACTTCCTGGAAACTTATTGAATGGCTTTGAGAAAAATACTGTTAATGATATGGACCATGAAATCCAGGCTGAGGTGGTCTCAGGCGGAGATGAGGAGCTTGTTGGGAACTGGAGCAAAGGTGACCCTTGTTATGTTTTAGCAAAGAGACTGGTGGCATTTTGTCCCTGCCCTAGAGATTTGTGGAACTTTGAACTTGAGAGAGATGATTTAGGGTATCTGGTGGAGGAAATATCTAAGCAACAAAGCATTCAAGACTTGGGTGCTGTTAAAAGCATTCAGTTTTAAAAGGGAAGCAGAGCATAAAAATTCAGAAAATTTGCAGCCTGACAATGTGATAGAAAAGAAAACCTCATTTTCTGAGGAGAAATTCAAGCCGGCTGCAGAAATATGCATAACGAATGAGGAGCTTAATGTTAAGCCCCAAGACAGTGGGAAAAAGGTCTCCAGGACATATCAGAGGTCTTCACGGCAGCCCCTCTGACACAGGCCTGGAGGCCTAGGAGAAAATTGTTTCATGGGCCAGGCCCAGGGTTCCCATGCTATGTGTAGCCTAGGGACTTGAGGCCCTGTGTCCCACCCCCTCCAGCCATGGCTTAAAGGGGCCAACACAGAGCTCAGGCTGTGGCTTCACAGGGTGCAAGCCCCAAGCCTTGGCAGCTTCCACACGGTGCTGAGCCTGCAAGTGCACAGAAGTCAAGAATTGGGGTTTGGGAACCTCTGCCTAGATTTCTGAAGATGTATGGACATGCCTGGATGCCCAGGCAGAAGTTTGCAGCAGAGGTGGGGCCCTCATGGAGCATCTCTGTAGGGCAGTGCAGAAGGGAAGTGTGAGGTTGGAGCCCCCACACAGAGTCCCTACTGGGGCACCACGTTGTGGCTCTGTGAGAAGAGGGCCACTGTCCTCCAGACCCCAGATGGTAGATCCACCCACAGCTTGCACTATGCACCTGGAAAAGCCACAGACACTCAATGCCAGCCTGTGAAAGCAGCCTCCCAGAAGGGAGGCTATACCCTGCAAAGCACAGGCGTGAAGCTGCCGAGGACCATGGGAATCCACCTCTTGCATCAGTGTGACCTAGATATGAGACCTGGAGTCAAATATTTTAAATTTTTAAAAGATTTTAAAGATTTTGGAGCTTCAGGCCAGGCGCGGTGGCTCACACCTGTAATCCCAGCACTTTGGGAGGCCAAGGTGGGCGGATTGCCTAAGGTCAGGAGATCAAGAGCAGCCAGACCAATGTGGAGAAACCCTGTCTCTATTTAAAAAAAAAAAAAAAAAAAAAAAGCATTTTGGAGCTTTAATATTTGACTGTCCCACTGGATTTCAGACTTGCATGGACCCTGTAACTCCTTTGTTTTGGCCAATTTCTCTCATTTGGAATGGCTGTATTTGCCAAATACCTGTACCCCCATTGTGTCTAGGAAGTAACTAACTTGCTTTTGATTTTACAGGCTCATAGGTAGAAGGGACTTGCCTTGTCTCAGATGAGATTTTGGACTGTGAACTTTTGGGTTAATGCTGAAATGAGTTAAGACTTCAGAGAAGTCATCATTTGTTTCTAAATGTGAGAACATGAGATTTGGAGGGGCCAGGGGTGGGATGATATGGTTTGGCTCTGTGTCCCCACCCAAATCTCATCTTTAATTTTACACCCATAATTCCCACGTGTTGTGGGAGGGACCCGGTGGGAGATAGTTTGAATCATGGGGGTGGTTTCCCCCATGCTATTCTTATGGTAGTGAATAAGTCTCATGAGATCTGATGGTGTTTATCAGGGATTTCTGCTTTTGCTTCTTTCTCATTTTCTCTTGCTGCCACCATGTAAGAAGTGCCTTTCACCTCCCGCCATGATTCTGTGGAACTATAAGTCCAACTAAACCTCTTTTTCTTCCCAGTCTCGGGTATGTCTTTATCAGCAGCGTGAAAACAGACTAATACACGGGTGGAAGGGGTACCCGCTAGTTGCTGCTTCTTCGCTTGTTAGATGGATTCAATGAGATAATGCCTGCTAAGAGAAGATGGACTGGATGTGCCAGGGGCTTCTGTTCAGGCTACAGGTGTCCCCTGAGCACCTGTGGTCCCTCCCTGTCCTTCTGGGCCAAGCTTCAAAATCCAGAGCACTCAGAAGCTGCTTTTCTGCTCTCTCTAGCATTTTTGAAAATGAAGACTTCCTGAAGTCAGTAATTGATCTGGCCAAGAAAGCCAAGTGCAAGCTGACCATCTGCCCCGAGGAGGAGAACATGGATGACCAGTGGATGCAGGTATGTACCCTGCGGGCGGGCAGGGTAAAGGTCCCTGAAGGCCAAGAGACACGTGGGGGACCCGGGCTCCTGGGGTTCAGTCTGGTGCCTTCCCAGCCACCCTTCCTCAGGGGGACTGGGAAGTGGGAACCTGAGAGGTCCTTGTGTTGGGAGGCTCGAGCAAGTGGTTTATCCAACGTTTGCTGTGAGCCACTGCAGGCCCACTGTGGTCACCAAGACAAAAGCCACCTTCCTGCTTTTAAACACTCAGGTGGCCCTGGGTAATAATGTGAAGCTCGGGAGACTGGTGCTCAACCCGTCCCTTGAGTGGTCCTTTCTCCCACTGTCCATCTTGAGCTCAGCCACAAGATCTGGCCATGCCCCAGCTCCAGCACTTTCCATGGCTCCCACCTCCTTCTGCTCAGTCTGCTTCCAGGGCCCTCTCAGCCTGGCTGCCTCCCTCGTTTGGGGCCAGCCTGCCGCTGTGCCCAGCAACATCTGATTACCATTCTCTGTTTCCATGCCACTCCCCCAAGGACTGAGACCGGGCCTCATCCAGCCCAACACCCCAATGCCTGGCACTGGGCAGTGCCCATGGGGGTGAGGGGTCTCTGGGGACACAGAGGAGAGGCTCCTGATGCAGCTAGGATGGGCCAGAGAAGGGCCTCCTGGTGGCAGGGCTCCCGGCCTCCTCCCCAAAGGAGGGCAGATAAGAATTTTTGCCATCAACCCCAGCAAAAATTCTTCCCTCTTTCTTTTCAGCCCCCACATAACAACGTCTTTTCCTCTCTTGCCGTTCCATCTTTTTGATACCAGGTTGAATTGTGTGAAATTGCTAATATGGGCCATTTTTGATTTGCAAGAGTGGAACTTCCATTTGGTTCAACCTAATAGTAACTTATAGTAGTGATTATGCCCACTATCACAGCTGCTTGCTAGAATACCTGCGGAGGTGGAATTTGCAGCCGATTCATTTCTGAAACCTCCCTGAGCTCCTTCTGCCCACTCCAGTGGCCCAGGCTGGGTCTTATCTGCCCTCCTTTGGGGAGGAGGCCAGGAGCCCTGCCACCAGGAGGCCCTTCTCTGGCCATTCCTAGCTGCATCAGGAGCCTCTCCTCTGTGTCCCCACAGACCCCTCACCCCCTCATCACCTCCTAGCCCTGGTGTTCACCACCTGGCTCCCAGGTTTTCTCACCTTGAGGAGGGGGTCTGAGTTTTGCTCACCAGGGGTTCCCAGCACCAGCCCAGGCACCACCAGGAGCAGGAGGGAAGGGCAGTCCTGCAGGCTCACGGCCTCTCAGGCACTGGGCAAGTCCCGGGCAATCAGCTCTGCTTTCTGAGCCCCTTCTCTGAGATCAAACACCTCGTGGGAATGTGCCCTTGACTGCAAGCGTGAGAGTGCGTGGATGGCTTCATGCCCCCGTCCTGGTGTCGGGCACCAAGACCCAGGCAGCCTCTTCTCCACTCACTCCCACAGGATGAAATGGAGATCGGCTACATCCAAGCCCCACACAAGACGCTGCCCGTGGTCTTTGACTCTCCAAGGAACAGAGGCCTGAAGGAGTTTCCCATCAAACGCGTGATGGTACCTGCATGGTGGGGAGGGGGCACAGCTGCCGAAACCCCCTTGTCTTGAGGTTCCCTCCTTTTAGCCTGTCTTCGCCGCCTGCGGCTGTGGCTAATGAGCCCCATGCAAGCAGGTGGCATTCCTGCTAAATCAGGCTTTAGCAGCCTCAGAATGAAGTTGGGTGCGGTGGCTCATGCCTGCAATCCTAGCACTTTGGGAGGCTGAGGTGGGTGGATTGCCTGAGGTCAGAAGTTCAAGACCAACCTGACCAACATGGTGAAACCCGATCTCTACTACACAAAAATTAGCCAGGTGTGGTGGCAGGCACCTGTAATCCCAGCTACTTAGGAGAATGAGGCAGGAGAATCCCTTGAACCCAGCGGCTGATGCAGGTGGGGCTTGTTATTTCTGTTATTACCAAGATAAGATCTGGCTCTTCATTTCCCAAAGCCTTTGTTGCCTGTGAGCTCAGCTTTGTCTCCAGGTTGCCCTGCCGAGGAGGTGGCTCAGGCTTGGGCCTCCTTGTGCTCTGGAAGATGCTTTTGCCACAAGGTGGCAGCGGGGCCAGGGCTGGAGTCCTTCCCAACGCCCAGTTGGAGGCTCTGTCTTTGGGTGAGGTTTGGCCTTCAGGGGCTCCATCTGGGATGTTGGGGTTTGGGGATCAGTGGTCATTTCCTGGGTGTGACTTTATCAGTCAGAGGCTGTCCATATGGAGGTGGGAAGTGACATACTGGTGACTCGTGCTTGACTAGCCTGGCAGGTTGATGCAATCTCAGTACAGAATAATAACAGTAATAATAAGAGTTGCATTTATTGAGCATGACTTGTGTGTGAGCCAGTGCTGCGTTCTTTACCTGCACTGACTCATTTAATTTGATAAACGTTCATGGAGATGCTATCAATAGGCCCATTTTATAGAAGAAGAAACTGAGGCTCAGAGTGGAGAAGCTGGAATTCAAACCCAGCCAGTCTGGCTTGGTTAGCATGCTCTTCCCCGCCCTGCCTCCCTCTCCCTGCTTTCTCAGGAAGGCCCCAGGCCTGCACTCTGAGCCCTGGCAGCCCCGTGGCTCAAGGTGCCCAGGGAAAAGGAAGGAAGGAATGTGGGGTACAAGGTTTGCTAGGATGACGGCTTTCCGACAAGCATCTGTGCTGTACCCCAAGGGAAGGGATGGCGGCCCTGCCCACACAGAGGCTTCAGAATGAAACTTCAGTTAAACTCAACAACCTGTCCCGAGTCTCACTTCCTCCTGGCCAAGCCATGCGCTGAGCGGTGGAGATGCAGAGAGGCTGTTGGATTCACAGCACGTGCTCAGCCACAGGGTGCAGTTCATCCTGTTTCAGCAGCGTTGGGGCAAACCGCCGGCTGCCACCATGACTTTGCCCTCTACCCGCTGGTTTCAGTCCTACCTTGTTCAGTGGCTGTGTCTCCTATTTTGATGTTCCAAGTACGACAAAGACCAGATTTTCTGATGCCACACGTCCTGCTGGACAGATGGACTCCTAGACACAGTCGCCTTCCCCTTTCCCACAGACAGCTTTGGATGAAGGCAGGCGGCACTGGTGCCTCAGCTAAGCACATCTGCGTATTCTGACTCAATCACTCAGAACGAGGCAGGGTGCGGTGGTCACACCTGTAATCCTAGCAGTTTGGGAGGCCAAGGCGGGCAGATCAACTGAGGTCAGAAGTTTGAGACCAGCCTGGCCGACACCGTGAAACCCCCGTCTCTACTAAAAATACAAAAATTAGCTGGGTGTGGTGGCGGGAGCCTGTAATCCCAAGTACTCGGGAGGCTGAGGCAGGAGAATCCCTTGAACCCAGGAAGCAGAGGTTGCAATGAGCCAAGATTATGCCACTGCACTCCAGCCTGGGCAACAGAGCAAGAATCTGTCTCCAAAAAAAAAAATGTCACTCAGAATGAAAAGAATTGGAGAAAAAGTCACCCTTGTCACCAGGCTTTGGCCCCACCTGCCTTTCCAGTGCCATTGTGGGTCACTCTCGCTGTCCCTTACCCAGCCCCGCCTCCACTGGCCTCCTTCCTGTTCTTCAAACTTGCCTAACGTTTCCCCACCTCGTGGCCTTTGCATATGCCGTTCCCTCTGCCTGCAATGCTGTTCCCTGTTCACGGGGCTGGCTGCTTCTCAGCCTTCAAGTCTCAGCTTCCATTCCCTACTCAGTGAGGTCTTCCCTGATGCCGAAGGAGGGACCCCCACCCCAACCTTCTCCACTACAGCCCCCTGTTGACTTCTTCAGTGTATTTTGTTAAAATCATGGACCTGCTCAACTACTTTTCATTGCCTGTGCTGCTGGGCCTGAGTCTATTGTGCCTTATGCTGTCCACGGGGCAGCTGGCACAGAGCTTGACATGCAGTGGTCGTTCTTTCTGTAAGCAGCATCAGTAAATGTTCTCTCACCGGCATCAGTGGGAAACCAGTGGCAGTTCCCACAGACAAAAGGCAGCTGTGAAGTTAAACAGAACTGGAGCAAAATCACGCTACTCAAGCCGGCTCCTTACAAGTGACTGCAGCATCTCTGAGCTCAAGGTCAGCTCTCTGGTTGTTAAAGTGAGAGATTAGCAGGTGTCAAGGATGTGTTTGCATCACTGAAACGTTAATTTTTAATTTGTATTTATTTATTTATTTTTTGAGGTGGAGTCTCGCTCTGTCGCCCAGGCTGGAGTGCAGTGGTGCAACCTTAGCTCACTGCAACCCCCGCCTCCTGGGTTCAAGCAATTCTCTGCGGCGCCCACTACCACGCTTGGCTAATTTTTGTATTTTTAGTAGAGACGGGATTTCACCATCTTGGCCAGGCTGGTCTTGAACTCCCGAGCTTGTGAACAACCCGCCTCAGCCTCACAAAGTGCTGGAGTTACAGGCGTGAGCCAGTGCGCCCGGCCTGAAACTTTAATTTTTGATGAACCAGAAAGACGAGGAAAATGAGAAGGGCATCAGGTGCCTAAGTGCGTACGATGAAGAAAAAGGAAAAAAGAAAAAAAAGAAAAGGAAATGAGAAGGGCAACAGCTTTCCAACGTTGTGTCCCAGGCTGCATCGCCTTGAACCCGTGAGCGTCCCCTGCACAGCCCACTCTTGGGGGGCCGCTTCTGCAGACTATGGACACCCTAACATTTGCCTGCAGAATCCAAGCCTGCAAGCTATGTAACTGACCCCTCTCACAGCAACAGCCAGGTCAGGGATGTGGAGGAATTTACATTCATTCATCAAACACTGTGTGAATACCTACTCAGCCAGGCCCTGTTCTAGGCACTTGGGATATGACCGTGAGCAACGCCAAGGTCCCTGAACCCACAGAGGGGCCGTTCTGGCCCAGAGAGACAGACAGCAGACAATGAATATAACAAAGTAGTTATACGTTTCCTTAGAAGGTGACGTTAAGAGCTGCAGGTGCTGTGTGTGGTGGTTCATGCCAGTAATCCTAGCACTTTGGAAGGCCAACGTGGGAGAATCGTTTGAGCCCAGGACTTTGAGACAAGACTCAGCAACATAATGAGACCTTGTCCCTAGAAAAAAAAAAAAAATTTGGCCAGACGTGGTGGCTCATACCTGTAATCCCAGCACTTTGGGAGTCCTAGGCAGGTGGATCACGAGGTCAGGAGTTCGAGACCAGCCTGGCCAAGAGGGTTAAACCCCGACTCTACTAAAAATACAAAAATTAGCAGGGCACAGTGGCAGGCACTGGTAATCCCAGCTACTCGGGAGGCTGAGGCAGGAGAATCACCCGGGAGGCAGAGGTTGCAGTAAGCCAAGATTGTGCCACTGCACTCCAGCCTGGGTGACAGAACAAGATTCCAACTGAAAAAATTTTTTTTAATTAGCTAGGCATGTTAATGCATGCCTGTAGTCCCAACTACTACAGAGGCTGAGGCAGAAGGATCGCTTGAGCCCAGGAGGTCGAGGCTGCAGTGAGTCCTGACTGTAACACTGCACTCCAGTCCGGGCAACAGATGAGACCTGTCTCAGAGGAAGAAAAAAAAAGCTACAGGAAGACAGTAGAGTGGAATGGATGGGCTCACAAGTACCAGGGTGGTAGGGAGGGTAGATTAGATTGCATTCTTAAAGCTGAGGGTGATGGCTCACGTCTGTAATCCCAGCACTTTGGGAGGCCAAGGCAGGTGGATTACTAAGCCCAGGAGATCAGGACCAGCCTAGGCGCCATAATGAAACCCTGTCACTACCAAAATAATAATAATAATAATAATAAGCTGGGTGTGCCGGTGCATGCCTGCAGTTCCAGCTACTTGGGAGGCTGAGGTGGGAGGATCCTTGAACACTGAAGGGTGAGGCTGCAGTGAGCCATGATCACGCCGCTGCACTCCAGCGTGAGCAACAGGAGTGAGACCCAGTCTCAAAAACAAATGAACAAAAAGAACATTTTTAAATAGGATGGTCAGGGGGGCTTCACAGAGAAGCTGACCTTGGAGCAAAGGCTTGAGGGAGGTGAGCGAGCTGTCCACGTGGGTGGATGTCTGGGGAAAGGGTGCTGCAGGCAGTGAGACAGCCAGTGCAAAGGCCCGGCAGGAGCACGCCGTGAGTGTCCAAGGAACAGCAAGAGGGCCTGGGAGGCGGAGCACAGCAACCAGAAGCGTGATAGGAGAGGCGGTCAGGGAGGAGGTGGGAGGTGAGAGGAGAGGCAGTCAGGGAGGAGGGAGGAGGGGGGAGGGGGCGGGTGGGAGGGGGGAGGTGGGAGGAGAGGGGGTCAGGGAGGAGGTGGGATGTCATAGGAGAGACTGTGGTAAGAGAGGTGATAGGGAGGGGACGGGATGACAGGACGGTGTTGGGCTTGTTGGCCACTGTCAAGGCCACTTATTTAAAAACTGAGAGTCATCACAGGGTCTTAAACAGAGGAGGATTATGATCTGGTTTGTTAGAAAAGGGAACAAGCCTTGGCTATGTGTTGAGAAAAGGGAGCAGAGGCAAGGGGAAGGGGAGTGGGCAGGTGACAGGTGCTGGGCGTGCAGGCAGCGCGTGGCGGGGAGAAGGCGGGAAGCTGTGAGATTGAAAGCAGAGCCAGCAGGACATTCTGACCCCTTGCAACTCTGAGAGCGGCAAGCCAACGCTGACAGCAAGGCTGTCGCCTCTGTGGCTGGCAGGCACCGTCCCCTGGGCGGGGAGGACCTCAGGAGGAGGAACAGGCTGATGGGGAATGAGGGGGTGGGAAGAGGGGACCCACATTTCTGTTTAGGGCAGGTGGGAGGTATTTGGTCAGCATCCAAGTGGGAGGTCAGGTGAGCCTGGATACACATCTGATGTTTGGGAGGGAAGGGATGCCCAGAGATGTGAATGAACATGAGGGTTGTCGGCTCGTGGATGCAATTCCATGAGACTTGGCAGGACCACTGAAGGGGCAAGTGAGGTTGGAGGTGAACCAGGATCCCTCGGTGTCCCGAAAGCCAAGTGCAGAAAGCGTGCCGAGAACACAGGCGTGACCGGCTGACTCAGGGGCTTCTGAGGGGGAAGGCGAGGCTCGGGCATTGCCCTTGGGGCCTGGCTGTGTGTTCATGGAGACCTGGGCGAGGAAAGTTTTAATGGGTGGGGGAAGGCGGGGTGGCCTGGATTTTAGAGGGAAGTGGGGAGAGGAATTGGAAGTGTGGTTTAAACTTGTGGAATCAGGCCAGGCGCAGTAGCTTACACCCATAATCCCAACACTCCGGGAGCTGAGACAGGACGAGTGAGCCCAGGAGTTTGAGACCAGCCTGGGCAACATAGTGAGACCCCATCTCTACAGGAAAAACAACTTTAAAAATTAGCCGGGTGTGATGCACGTGCCTATGGTCCCAGCTGCTCGGGCGGCTGAGGCGGGAGGATCGTTTGAGCCCAGGAGGTCAAAACTGCAGTGAGGAAGTGAATTTGCAGATCGCAGACCTCCTTGAGACCCACTCAACTTCCCAGAAACTCACACCTGGGCACACAAGTTGGAGTCTACTCTCAGGGAGTTCATGGCCCCCACGAAGCCCCAGGGAATAGACCATCTATGTGTAGAAGGCTAGGTGCACCCTCTCCTGGGGGCAGGGGAAACCGGCGGGGGACTGAATCATGGCCCCTCTACATCCTAATCCCCAACCTGATGTCTCTTTATGTGGCAAAGGGGACTTTGCTGAATGTGCTTATGTTAGGGCTTTGTGATTACAGTGATTATTCTGGTTTATCCTGGAAGCGGGGAGGGCCGGTGATGATGGAAGCAGAGATTGGAGATCTTTTGAACATGGAAGAAGGGGCTGCCAGCCAAGGTGGTTAGTGGAAGCTGAAAAAGACAAGGAAATATAATAGATTCTTCCCTCAGGGCCTCCAGGAGGAACCAGCTCTGCCATCCCTGGACTTAAGCCCAGTGAAACTGATTTCAGATTTCTGGCCCCCAGAACTTTAAGAGAATAAACGTGGCTGGGCATGGTGGCTCATGTAATCCCAGCACTTTGGGAGGCTGAGGCAGATGGATCACTTGAGGACAGGAATCCCAGACCAGCCTGGCCAACATGCGAAGCCCCATCTGTACTAAGTTACTGGGCATGGTGAGGTATACCTGTAGTCCCAGCTACTAAGGAGACTGAGGCAGGAGTATGGCTTGAAGCCAGAGGCAGAGGTTGCAGTGAGCTGAGATCACTGCACTCTAGCCTGGGCAACAGAGCGAGACTCTGTCTTAAGAAAAAATAAAAGAGATGTTTTGCAGATTTACTTTAGGCCAAGTTAAGATTTACCAAGCAGCTGCTATGCGTTAGGGACCTAACAAATGCTAGTCCCTTTCCTTGTCCACTGAATGAACTCGATATTCTTTTAACATTCCACACGTAATAACAGTGCCTGCTATGTACCCACTGCAGACGGTACTGAGTTACTTCCTGTGCCCAAGTTCATCTGTAAACTTGGACACCCCCCACCTTCAATTGGGACTTCATTCCTCTAACTCCCGGCACGCCCTTCTCCTATCTCAGGGTCCAGATTTTGGCTACGTAACTCGAGGGCCCCAAGCGGGGGGTGTCAGCGGGCTGGACTCCTTTGGGAACCTGGAAGTGAGCCCCCCGGTCACAGTCCGGGGGAAGGAATACCCACTGGGCAGGATTCTCTTCGGGAGCTGCTGTTATCCCAGGTAAGGAGGAGAGTAACAGGAAGGGGCGGCCAGAACCCAGGGATGCCGTGGGCCAGAGTGGAAGCCTCCCCTATCCGCTCCCAACCGCAGAGGGCCCAACAGACTTTAGGAAGTGTGAAAGGAATCCAATGCAGGGTGAGGAGTGTGGGCTTTGGAGCTCACAGACCCAAGTTCAATTCCAGCTCTGCCACTTACCCTCTTCCAGTCGGTGAATATTTACTGAGCATCAGAATGTGCTGGGAGTGGGAACGCAGCTGTGGACGCGAAAGACAAGTCCTTACCACTACTCTAGCGGGGGAAACAGATGACAGAAAAGTAAACAAGATAATTTCAACTCGTGACAAAAACAAGAGAGGGGCAGAGGAGAAACAGGAACTGTTAGGGTGACCAGGGAGGGCCTCTCAGGGGAAGGGGCTATTGAACTCAGGCCTAATGACAGGAAGGGCAGGGCCGTGTGGAGATCGGGGAGAGTTCCCAGCAGATGAAAGTGTGTGTGCAAAGGCCCGGAGGCGGGAGTGAGCTCCTGCGTGCAAGAAGGCCAGGATGGCTGGAACCGATTGAACAAGAAGGGGCCGGGCGCAGTGGTTCACGCCTGTAACCCCGGCACTTTGGGAGGCCGAGGCGGGTGGATTACCCGAGATCAGGAGTTCGAGACCAGCCTGACCAACATGGTAAAACCCCGCCTCTACTAAAAATACAAAAATTAGCTGAGCGTGGTGGCGCGCACTTGTAATCCCAGCTACTAGGGAGGCTGAGGCAGGAGAATCGCTTGATCCCGGGAGGCAGAGGTTGCCGTGAGCAAAAATTGTGCCAGCCTGGGCAACAGAGCAAGACCATCTCAAAAAAAAAAAAAAAGAAGGAAGAGCAAGGCACTGGAACGCTAAGGGTTTTTCAGGAGAAAGCTGAGCTCAAACAGGGGAGGGCATGTCCCCAAGGCCACACGGCTAATGAGAGATCACCAACTCAGGTCAGACTGGCTCTAAACCCCATGAGTACCCAGAACACCAGCCTCTCGCCTAATTCAAGAGGCAGTGCTTTCTGAGGCTAACCTCTGTCCTACTCTCCTTAGTGACTCTGTGCCTCAGTTTCCCCCAATAAAACTAGAATGACAATTCCTTAATTTCTCAAATGTTAGGGACTAAAATAGAGGCATTCCAGGCTCCTGCATCCCTTTCTCTGCTGAAGCAGAACCCTGACCTTTTTGGCAAGCCCCTGTCCTTCAGAGACTTCCCTGCAGCCCTTGCTGCCAATCACACGCCTCTAACCCTGCCGTGACAGCCCTCACAGCCAGGAGATGCACCAGGCCCTGCAGGACTTCCTCAGGGCCCAGCAGGTCCAGGCCCCCGTGAAGCTCTATTCTGACTGGCTCTCCGTGGGCCACGTGGATGAGTTCCTGAGCTTTGTGCCTGCTCCCGACAGGAAGGTACGATCTTGGGGGCTGCCTGCAGGAAGCATGGCTCCTCCCTGGGTAGACTCTCTGCCTCTGCCTGGGGTGGGGGCAACTTTGCTTGTCTGAGGCTATTTTTCTTCACCTTAGGATGGAGGTAGAGGAGGTGGCCAGCTTGGGTCCAAGTCCACACTCCTCCCACCCTCGGCAGATCCACCCTCCTTGGGAGCCCCAGGGGCAAAGCTGACCTCTAACCCCAGGGTTTCTGCCTTCAGGGCTTCCGGCTGCTCCTGGCCAGCCCCAGGTCCTGCTACAGACTGTTCCAAGAGCAGCAGAATGAGGGCCACGGGGAGGCCCTGATGTTCCAAGGGGTCAAGAGTAAGTCAGCCCTGCCTTGTCCTCCCATCTGTACACCTTCCTGCTTCCTGGGGGTCTCCTGTTGCCTGGAGGGAATCATCGACCTACTGTGTGCCAGGAGGACTTACTGTGTGCCCGACACCATGCCAAGTACTGGGAGACTGGGTGAACAGAGCAGAGCAGCTTGCGGCCCTCTGGGCTCACAGGCCCGGGGGAAGTGAGTCAACAGAACAGCTCCAACACAGGGGCTTTGAGGGGTGTCTGAGTGGATGGAGCTCAGGGAAGGCTTCTTGGAGGAGGCAAGGCCAAACAGGAGCTGGCTGGGCAAACAGGGCAGGGAAAGAGAGGAAGAGAGACATTGCAGGCGGAGGGACAGGGCGAGTGGAGGCTCAGAGGCAGGAGAAAGCGCGAGGCGTGGGAGCACCTGGGGGAGGTTCGGCCTGGCTGCAGCACAGAAGGAAATGTTACTCCTTCGGCCAGGCACGGTGGCTTACCCCTGTAATCCCAGCACTTTGGGAGGCTGAGGTGTGTGGATCATGAGCTCAAGAGATCAAGACCATCCTGGCCAACGTGGTGAAACCCTGTCTCTGCTAAAAATACAAAATTAGCTAGGGGTGCTGGCACACGCCTGTAGTCCCAGCTACTCAGGAAGCTGAGCAGGAGAAACCCTTGAACCCGGGAGGCGGAGGTTGCAGAGAGCCAAGATCGTGCCACTACGCTCCAGCCTGGGCTACAGAGCAAGACTCCATCTAAAAAAAAAAAAAAAAAAAATTCTGAAAGGAAAACAAATTAATCAACAGTTCTACAGGAAGTAAAAATATCTTTCAAAACCAAAGATGAAATAAAGATCTTTTTAGACAAACATCAGCTGAGAGAATTCATTGTCAACAAATCTGTTCTACAACAAAAGTTGCTTTTACTTTCTATTTACACTTTTTAACTATAAACAGAAATTTTTAATAAATATAAATGGATGTTTTTCAGGTGGAAGAAAAATCATACTGATGGAAACTTGTATCTATACAAAGGAATTTAAAACACCAGAAATAATAAATAAGTGGGCAAATATGAAAGATTTTATTTTAAAATTTATTTAAAACATAACTGGTTATTCAAAGAAAAATAATAACATGTTGTGGGATTTATAACAGAAGTAAAATGTATAATAACAGTACAAAGTATGGAAGAATTAAAGAATATTGTTGTAAGTTTCTGTATTATATCTGAAGTGATATTATAGTATTTAAGGGTAGAGTGTGATAAGTTAAAGATACATTGTGAATCCTATGGAACTCAAAAAAAAATGTCAAGCAGATTTTAAGGAAGACCTAACTATTAATATATGCTGTCTATAGGAGCCCCACTTTGATTATAGACACAGGAAAATTAAATATAAAAAATATATAGAAAAAGATATACCATGTGAGCACTAACTAGAAGACAGCTAAGGTAGCTACATTAATATTAGATGAAGTAGACTTCAGATCAAAGAATATTACCAAAGATATAAAGAAACATTTCATAACAATAAAAGGGTGAATTTGTCAAGAGAACATAACAATTCTAGATACATAACATCTAGGGTTAACAAACGAACTTCAGGATACATTGAACAAAAGATAACTGAAAAGAGAAATATACTTTATCTATAATTATATTTAGATATCGCAATAATTCTCTCTTATTAATGAGTAGAGAGAAAACTGGCTGGTATGTAGAAAATTTGAAAAATACTATCAGGGCCGGGCGCAGTGGCTCAAGCCTGTAATCCCAGCACTTTGGGAGGCCGAGGCGGGTGGATCACGAGGTCAAGAGATCGAGACCATCCTGGTCAACATGGTGAAACCCCGTCTCTACTAAAAAANAAAAAAAAAAAAAAAGAAAAAGAAAGAAATATGACTCTTTCAGTAGAGCTCATAGACATGGGCCAGGCCCAGAGTTGAGGAGCCTGTGTGCCTGAGAGCTCCGTCTCGGGTCTGTGTATGTCGTGTGGCATCAGGCGAGGGCGGACCTGTTTTTCCCTCTCGACATGATCTCTTTGGAGATAAGAGAATTTAGCATTAATGCAAGCAAAATGTTTCTGTGAACAAGTTTCAGTTGTTCAGCTTTATAATTATAAGTAAACCTGTTAAATTTTTCTGAACATTCTATTTTTTTGAGATGAAGTTTTCCTCTGTTCCCCAGGCTGGAGTGCAGTGGTGCGATCTCAGCTCACTGCAACCTCCACCTCCCAGTTCAAGTGATTCTCCTGCCTCAGCCTCTTAAGTAGCTGGGATATAGGCACTCGCCACCACGCCAGGCTAATTTTTGTATTTTTAGTAGAAACAGGGTTTTACCATGTTGGCCAGGGTGGTCTTGAACTCCTGACCTCAGGTGATCCACCCACCTCAGCTTCCCAAAGTGCTGGGATTACAGGCGTGAGCCACTGTGCCCCCCCAAAACAAGAACATTTCTTATCTACGGCAACTAAATGGTATTTATCTCATTTTATCGCACAGTAGATTCCATCCGTTCACTAAACTATCCTACATGCAAGTAGATATTTTTAATGTTGCCTGTCTTTTGTGCTGTTCCTGTTAGCGTGGGGGCATTAAAATGCATTAAAAATAAAAAAAAAAAAAAGATAAAAAAGGCCAGGTGCTATGGCTAATGCCTGTTATCCCAGCACTTTGGGAAGCTGAGGTAGGTGGAGATTGAGACCATCCTGGCTAACACAGTGAAACCCCATCTCTACTAAAAATACAAAAAATTAACTGGGCGTGGTGGCGCACACCTGTTATCCCAGCTACTCAGCAGGCTGAGGCCGGAGAATTGCTTGAACCTGGGAGGTGGAGGTTGCAGTGAGCCAGGATCTTGCCACTGCACTGCAGCCTGGGCGACAGAGCAAGACTCTGTCTCAAAAAATAAATAAATTAAAAAAAAAAAAAAATTAAACTAGGCCGAGTGTGGTGGCTCATGCATGTAATCCTAGCACTTTGGGAGGCTGAGGTAGGTGGATTGCCTGAGTTCAGGAGTTAGAGACCAGCCTGGCCCACATGGTAAAACGCTGTCTCTACTAAAAGCACAAAAATTACCCGGGCATGGCGGTGCACACCTGTAATCCCAGCTACTGCTGAGGCAAAGGCAGGAGAATCGCTTGAACCCAGGAGGTGGAAATTGTAGTGAGCTGAGATTACAGCACTGCACTTCAGCCTGGGTAACAGAACAAGATTCCATCTCAAAAAAAAAAGAATACATTAAACTACAAAAATATATAAAAAGAACATTTTAGTGAGGTGAGAACAACATTTTTAATGAGAATTTATACTGCTAAAATATTGTATTAAAGACATTTAAGGCTGGACGTGGTGGCCCATGCCTGTAATCCCAACACTTTGGGAGGCCGAGGCGGTTGGATCACGAGGTCAAGAGATCGAGACCATCCTGGCCAACATGGTGAAACCTCGTCTCTAGTAAAAATACAAAAATTAGCTGGATGTGGTTGCGTGCGCCTGTAGTCCCAGCTACTCAGGAGGCTGAGGCAGGAGAATCGCTTGTTCCCGGGAGGCAGAGGTTGCAGTGAGCCAAGATCTCGCCACTACACTCCAGCCTGGTAACAGAGTGAGACTCAGTCTCAAAAAAAAAAAAAAGACATTTGACTCACAGATGCTCACAACAAACCTGTATGATAAGAATTGTTACTGCCTCCACTTTAGATAGGAACACAGTCCTCCGGCACTGACTGGGAAGAGGGAAATTGACCTCTGAATTCGCTTGCCTTTTTTTTCTTTTTCTCCATGACAGAAAAAAACCAGCAGAAAATAAAGAACATTCTGTCAAACAAGACATTAAGAGAACATAATTCATTTGTGGAGGTACGAGCCTGGGTGCCCACACCCCAGCACATCTGATGTTCCCCCTACCCACCAGCCACTTCCCCAGTGACTAGAGGCATTTGGCAGGAGTCTCCCTCAGGACCTCAGGATGTGCTGGAAGACGGAGACACAGAAGCAGGGACAGAGACAGAGACTGGGAGAGGCTGAGGGAGCAGAGGGAGCAGGAGGCCCCAGGGTCCCCTGAGAGCACTGGCCAGAGGCCTCTCTGTCCGGGGGGGCCTGGCAGCTGCCCTCACTGCCTTCCTGACCCTGTCCAAGTCCTTCCTTCGGCCCAGGGGCCTCAGCTCCACACTGTCCCCCACACCCAGCAGTCCCCCACTCACGGCCCCCGCCCCTCTCCCCAGAGCTGCATCGACTGGAACCGGGAGCTACTGAAGCGAGAGCTGGGTCTGGCTGAGAGCGACATCATCGACATCCCGCAGCTCTTCAAGGTCAAAGAGTTCAAGGCCGAAGCCTTTTTCCCCAACATGGTGAGGATGTGGGGGCTGTAACACCCCAGGGTGTGGCATGGAGGCAGCTCAGCCCAAGAGGCCAGCGGGGTACCCAGGCGTTCCAGAGGGCTTGGCTCCTGTCCATTACTGCTTGGAGCTTTGTCCCGAGTGGTACCGGGTCAGACGCGACCAGGTCCGCACACGTTAGTGTCTTTCCACAAGGTCAGGTTGATGCTATTTCTTTTCTTTTTATTTTTCAGACACAGTTTCATTCTTATTGCCCAGGCTGGAGTGCAGTGGCACAATCTTGGCTCACTGCAGCCTCTGCCTCCCAGGTTCAAGCCATTCTCCTGCCTCAGCCTCTCCAGTAGCTGGGATTACAGGCGTACGCCACCATACCCAGCTAATTTTTTGTATTTTTAGTAGAGATGGGGTTTCTTCATGTTGGTCAGGCTGCTCCCAAACTCCTGACCTCAGGTGTTCTGCCCGCCTCGGCCTCCCAAAATTCTGGGATTATAGGCATGAGCCACTGCACCCAGCCCCTACTGATGCTATTTCCATCTTAAAATCTGGGTGCGGTGGCTCACGCCTATGAGCCTAACATTTTGGGAGGCCAAGGCGGGTGGATCACTTGAGGTCAGGAGTTCGAGACTAGCCTGGCTAACGTGGTGAAACCCCCGTCTCTACTAAAAATACAACAATTAGCTGGGTGTGATGGCAGGCGCCTGTAATCCCAGCTACTTGGGAGGCTGAGGCAGGAGAATCACTTGAACCCGGGAGACAGAGGTTGCAGTGAGCTGAGAACATGACATTGCACTCCAGCCTGGAAGACAGAGACTCCATCTCAAAAAAAAAAAAAGAAAAGAAAAAAAGACAGTTATCTTGAGCTAGTGAAGACCTGCTCTTTTTATAGTCAGGTCTTCTGGTGAGGACTGATGGTAATGAAGTATGCCTGCTTATGTCCCTATCTGGTTGGGTGGTCTCTGTTGATCAGGCAAATGTCTGGTCCCTGTTGGCATGGTGCCTTTTGAAATGTATGATGGAGTCTTTTTCTAAGATGGAGTCACTTAGGTCAAGAGTGCTCCAGGCTTGCATGGGCCTGTACATCCTCCAGAGCACCTTCTGGTATCTCACAACAATGCCAGGAGTCAGATTCTATGGTTTCCTCCACCAGGGCTCTGGCTTCAGACGCCAGGCTATAACCACCGTGCTGCCTTCCCACCCAGCAGCTTCCCTGGGGCTCGGGGGTGCCGTAGGGGGTCGGGGGACGGACAGGGAGTCAAGCAGCAAACAAGATGCCCTCGGGTCACCTATGCACCATAACAGGGACACATATGAGGATACCACCTCAGACTGGGGGGTCCAGGAAACCCTCTGTGAGCAGGTGAGGCTGGCACTGCCTGGGCTGAGCGGGATTCACCTTCTGGAGGCTGCGCTTGAGGGCGAGAATGGGCCCACCTTTGTCCTGAGTGTTCACTGTGGCCCCCAAGCACTGTCTTGCTATCATCCACTGTGTTTTTTACATTCCTCGGCCCCATTCCTCCCTCTCTTCAGAGTATACCAGAGGCCCAGGCAGGGACTTCACCCAATTCTACTGGGGAACCCCAGCCACCCTCTTCTTCTGGAGCTGAGGGTGACAGTTCAGGGAGGAGCCAGCAGGACTACCACAGTAGTTTTCAAACTGGGTTCCCTAGGGCCCTGGAGTTCCAAGGCAGTGCCTCAAATCCAGTAGTTCAGATTTTCTGGTTTTGCACTGACATTTGGCAAAAGATGTTGTGTAGAATAAAGGGTTCCTTGGCCAAAAGGAATTAAAGTCTTGACCCCAAGCATCTTGTTTCCCTCCAGTTTAGCCACGCCAGGCTTCCCAGTGCAAGAAGGAAAGCAGCTACAGTGGTTAGGAACGCTGAGGGCTGACTATGCGCCTTCGCTGTTCAAGGCCCCTGGAGGGAGCCTGAGCATGAGACGTGGAGCTGGCTGTGGGAGGCGGGGAAGAGTGAGTGGAACAGGCAGAGAGATGGACAGTGCGAGGCACTTAGCACGCACAGGCTGTGTCTAGGCAGCGACAAAGAATGAGACGCTCCCTTGAGGACTCATGACCCACAGAAGATGGCTGTGCACCTACTATGTGCCAGCACAGTGCTGTGCCTGTGTATTCTTACCTTATTGTCATTGCAATGAAAGCGTGTGTTGGGCTCATTTTGCTGATGAGGCTCAGAGGGGTGATGTGACTGCCTAAGGCCACACAGCTATTGAACAGCAGGGCTGGGATTCAAACCCACTTAGACCTGCAGCCAAAATCCTCACCTTTCCACCTCTCCGGGCTGCCTCCCAATCTAATGGAGGAAGCAGAGTCGTTTACATATATTATTTATATACCGAAAGTGCCACAACAGAGGCAGTCATTTATCCATCCTGTCAACAGATATTTATTGAGTGCCTACTACATGCGAGGCACAGTGCTGGGAATTATGGGAACACAGAGCAGCAGTGGCTGTCAGAGCTCAGGGATTCATGGGCAGCTGCACAGAGGGACTGCCATTTGATCTGGGCCTTGAGTAATAGAAAGAGTTTATCCAGGGGTAGCAGGTAGGGGAGGAGAGTGTAGTGTTAAGAGCATGGGCAGCATCAAAAAGAATGAAATCAGCCAGGAGGGGTGGCTCATACCTATAATCCCAGCACTTTGGGAGGCTTAGGCGGGAGGATTGCTTGAGTCTGGGAGTTCAAGACCAGCCTGGGCAACACGGAGAAACTCTGTCTCTCAAAAAAATGCAAAACTTAGCCAGGCATGGTGGCATGTACTGAGGCAGGAGGATTGCTTGAGCCCAGGAGGCGGACATGGCAGTGAGCTGAGATCACACCACTGCATTCTAGCCTGAGTGACAGAGTGAGACCCTATCTCAACAAATAAAATATAAGGACATGAAATCATGTCCTTTGCAGCAACATGATGGAGCTGGAGGCATTATCCCAAGTGAATAGAAAATATCAAATACTGCATGTTCTCATGTATAGGTAGGAGCTAAACACTGGGTACACAGAGATACAGAGATGGAAAAATAGACACTGAGGACCCCGGAAATGGAGAGAATGAGCATGAGGTGAGGGTTGGAAAATTTCCTATCGGGTACAATGTTCGCTGTTTGGGTAATGAATACACTAGAAGCTCATTGCCCACCAGTAAGCAACATACTCAGGTAACAATATGCATGTACCCCGAATCTAATTTTTTTTTTTTTTTTTAGATGGAGTCTCACTCCGTTGCCAGGCTGGAGTGCAGTGGCATGATCTCAGCTCACTGCAGCCTCCGCATTCTGGTTGAAGTGATTCTCCTGCCTCAGCCTCTGGAGTAGCTGGGACTACAGGCATGCACCACCACACCCAGCTAATTTTTGCATTTTTATTAAAGTTGGGGTTTCACCATGTTGGCCAGGCTGATCTCAGTCTCCTAACCTGGTGATCCACCCACCTCAGCCTCCCAAAGTGCTGGGATTACAGGCGTGAGCCACCGTGCCTGGCCTAAACTTTTTAAATTTTAAATAAATAAGCGTATGGAAGGTTCACTGCAGCCTTGACCTCCCAGGCTCAAGTGATCCTCCTGTCTCAGCCTCCAAAGTAGCTGGGTCCACAGGTGCACACCACCACGCCTGGCTGATTTTAAAAAATATTTTTTGTAGAGATAGGGTTTTGCCATGTTGCCCAGGTTGGTCTCAAACTCTTGGACTCAAGCGATCCTCCTGCCTCAGCCTCCCAAGTGCTGGGACTACAGGTGTGAGCCACCGTCCCAGGAGGGGCTATTATTTCCAATGGTCAGAGAAGGGAGGGGCCGCTCGGATCACGCTGCAGGCTGCCCGTTGCCGCCTGTGACCTGAGCCCTCACTTCGCTGCAGGTGAACATGCTGGTGCTGGGGAAGTACCTGGGCATCCCCAAGCCCTTTGGGCCCATCATCAATGGCCGCTGCTGCCTGGAGGAGAAGGTGCGGTCCCTGCTGGAGCCGCTGGGCCTGCACTGCACCTTCATCAATGACTTCTACACCTACCACATCAGACACGGGGAGGTGCATTGCGGCACCAACGTGCGCAGAAAGCCCTTCTCCTTCAAGTGGTGGAACATGGTGCCCTGAGCCCATCTTCCTTGGCGTCCTCTCCCTCCTGGCCAGTTGTCGCTGGGTCCTCTGCAGTGTGGCAAGCAAGAGCTCTTGCAGATATTTTAGCTCTCTGGGATGGGCCAGCCCCCCAGCAGTGGCTTGCTTCCTTCTCCTATGCCTCAGTTTCCCACTCTGACATCCCAACATGGTCCTAGCATTGCACACTCAGTTCTGCTCCAAGAAGCTGCAATAAAGTTTTTTTTTTAAGTCCCTTTGTACATGAGGTCAAGATGTTGTTGCTATCATTCATTCATTCACTCATTTGTCATGATTGAATTGACTATTGCAAAATAAACTGAAAAGTGTTAACAGGCTGTGTTGAAGGCCACGTTATTGTGTGTGTCTTTTGCTCCCAGACCTGTATTTGGTCTATAAAATTTTGCATGATCCTACTTCATTCTGAGTTTCCTGTAGAACCTTTCCAAGAAGAGGAAGAGGAAGGAACAGGGGAGGGGCGAGCCCCACTGAGGGTCTGGTTATATCTCTCTTTAAATTCACCTACAACCGGGCATTCACCTACATACTGACAGCGATGGATTTTTGTGGAATGAAGTAATTCATCTCCTCAGTGTTCTTTTTGTATATTGCCTTTTACGGCCTTGACATAAATACTTAGATTCCTCTGTAGAAGATCATTAAAATTGAGACCAGATATTGGCTCGAAAGGGTTCAAGATATTTAGAGAACACCCAGGGATCCTGTTATGTTCTCATAGGTCATGGAGAACATACGATGGTGGAAAAGATGAACATCAAAACCTCTGCCTTCATACGTCTGATTTCAAAACATACTACTAGCTATAGACATCAAAACAGTGTGGCATGGGCAAAAAGACAAATAGACCTATGGAACAGAATAGAAAGCCAGGAGTAAACGCTCGAGTATAAAAGACATTTCTCCAAAGATGATATACAAATGGCCAACAAGCACATGAAGAGATGCTTACCATCACTAACCATCAGAGAAACGCAAATCAAAGCCACAGTGACCTCACACCCATTAGAATGGCTCCTATCAAAATAAAACAAGTTAGGATGTTGAGAAATTGGGACCCTTGTGCCCTGTTGGTGGGACTGTAAGATGAAATGATGCAACTGCCATGGAAAAAAGTATGGAGATTCCTCAAAATAATTAGAAATACATCTAGCATATGCCAGCAATCCCACTTCCGGGTAAATACCCAAAAGCAAAATGTCCTATTTTTTTTTTTAAGAGATGGGGGTCACCATGTAGCCCAAGCTGGTCTCAAACTCCTAGGCTCAAGCAATCCACCCACCCTGGCTATGGAATATCATTCAGCTTTAAGAAGGAAGAAAGGCCAGGCAAAGTGGCTCACACCTGTAACCTCAGCATTTGGGGAGGCCGAGGTGGGCAAATCGCATGGGCCCAGGAATTTGAGATCACCCTGGGTAACACAGCAAAGCTTGATCTCTACAAAACAAAATAGTTGGGCATGAGGGTGCACACCTGTAGTCCCACCTACTTGGGAGACTGAGGTGAGAGGATCACCTGAGCCTGGGAGGTCAAGGGTGCAGTGAACCGTGATTGTGCCACTGCACTCCACCCTGGGCAATGGAGAGAGACCCAGTCTCGAAAATAAGGAAGGAAATTTTGTCACATGTTACAACATGAATATGCTTTGAGGACATTGTGCTATAGGAAATAAGCCAGTTTCAAAAAGAGAAATACTGTATGATTCCACTTACATGAGTTATCTAGAGAAATTCACAGAAACAGAAAGCAGAGGCTGGGCCAAGTGACTCACACCTGTAATCCCAGCACATCAGGAGTCCAAGATGGCTGGATCACTTGAGGCCAGGAGTTCAAGACCAGCCTGGCCAAGATGGCAAAACCCTGTCTCTATTAAAATCATGAAAAATTAGCTGGATGTGGTGACACATGCCTGTAATCTCAGCTACTTGGGAGGCCGAGGCATATAAATCACTTGAGCCTGGGAGGTGGAGGTTGTAGTGAGCCAAGATCACCTCACTACATTCTAGCCTGGGCAACAGAGCAAGACTCTGTCTCAAAAAGAAAGAAAGAAAGAAAGAAAAAAAAAAGGTAGAATGGTGCTTGCCAGGTACCGGAGGGGAAAGAAGAGGGGAGTTGTTGAATGGGTGTAGATTTGCAAGATGAAAAAGTTCTGGAGATCTGTTTCACAACAACGTAAATATACCTAACACTGCCAGACTATACACTTAAAAACGGCTAAGATGGGCCAGATGCAGTGGCTTATGCCTGTAATCCTGGCACTTTGGGAGGCCAAGGCAGGTGGGTCACCTGAGGTCAGGAGTTCAAGACCAGCCTGGCCAACATGATGAAACCCTGTCTCTACTAAAAGTACAAAAATTAGCCAGGCGTGGTGGCGCATGTCTGTAGTCCCAGCTACTCGGGAGCTGAGGCAGGAGAATTGCTTGAACCCAGGGGATGGAGTTTGCAGTGAGCCAATATTGTGCCACTGCACTCCAGCCTGAGCAGAACGTGAGACTCTGTCTCTAAATAGATAAATAAATACTGTATTTTTTGAAAAGCATCCTCCCTGCCCACCTAGGAGAAGGGGATCTATAAAACCTGAATCAAAACATGCTGCTCTGAAGACCATCAGCTGCTCCCCCACTGTCCCAAATGTGCTGGAGCAAAGGAGGTGAGTGTTTCTGTGGACCAGAACGGGGCCAGGGACAGAGGACGTTGGTATGAGTTCAGCCCCAAACCTGGCTGATAGAGCTGCCTGGAGCATCAAACAGGTCTTAGCAGATAAAACTGAAGATTTTGCTGGATTCCTAGGACCGGAGAAGGACCCAGAGACAAGCTGGTGAATAAGGCACCCCTTGCATCAGGGATGAGGAGATGTGCAGATGTTACCCCAGCCACGTGTGGGTTGCGGGTGGGAGGCATCCCTGGAGGAGCCAGGGAAGCCACAGGTGAGAAAGTGCTGCCAGCACCTTAGAGCACAGAGCCATCCCCTGCTTGTGCCCATGAAACAAAAACTTCTCTGTTCCTTTGGCTTTGTCCTCGCCTCTCCCCTTCCCAGAGACCACAAAGGAGTTTCCTGAAGCTGCTGTTACAAACGACCACGAACTAAATGGCTTGAAGCAACAGAGATGGACTCTGTCTCAGTTCCGGAGGCCAGGAGTCCAGAATCAGTCTCACTGGGCTGAAATTCAGGTATCAGCAGAGCCATCCCACCCAAAGGCTTTAGGAGGCAAGTTCCTCTTCTAGCTTCTGCCAGCATTCCTCAGCTAGTGGCTGCATCAATGCCAGTCTCTGCCTCCCTAGCCACGTGGCTTTCTCCTCTGTGTGTGTCAAATCTCCCTCTGTCTCTCCCTTGTAAGGACACTTGTGATGATATTTGAAGCTCATCCAGACACCCCAGGACAATTTCCCCATCCCAAGGTCTTCAATCACCTCTGCAAACAGACCCTTTCTATATGAGATAACTTACAGAGTTGGAAGTAAAAGTTCAGCATTGCAAAGAAAATGATCACTCAAAGAAATTCTCAGCAAGGCAATTTTACTTCTATAGAAGGGTGCTGCCTATAAGCCTGTTTGCCATGAGATCACCCCAGCAAAGGAGAGGAGGGCTTTTTATCCCTAACGCATGGGGCTTCTAGTACCGTGTCCAGCCTCCATTGTCTGGAGCTGGATGGCACAGTCTAAGCGAAACCCCAATTGGCTAAAAGCTTAAAACTTTCCTGAATAGGTAAAGGCAATGGAGAACAAAGAAAGGGAGAAAGTGCTTGTGAAAAGACCAGGAAAGCAATACCATGTCCAAACAAGGAAAGGAGTATATGTTACAAGCTAGGACATGCCTGGGCATGTCCAGGCATGCCCAGGCAGCTCAGGAAACAAGTGGGTTAGGCGTTTAGAAATTAAAGAACAAGGGAACAGGATATGCTTTATTTGACTTAATTGCCTTCCTTTTTGAGGAAGAACTTCACTGTATCTATCATACAGGCTCCAAGGACCTGCTCTCTCTTGGGTGCCATTATTCCACTCACTGTAGTTTGGAGATCACCACATGCAAGCTGCAGCCGGCAGAAGGGGAAAGAAAGAAGCCAGGCACCCCCCTTCCACAGCTCTAAGCCTTGCACCTGCATAACCTCACAGGAAAGGATGAAGATCTCCCGTTATAAAACCGAGTCTTGCGTGGGAGCAAACTTTCCGACTCCTGAATTGAGAATGTTTGGTGACTGTTTTATGCCTAGTTTCTGGAAACAGATTCTTAGATGGAGATTTACCTGCAGGAGGGTTATGGGGGGGTGCAGGGGAAGGTGTTCTCAGGAAGCCCACCTGGGAGGGAGCGTGGGGCTCACAGGCACTTGCCACAAGGTTTCAGGCAATGCATGGGGTAGCTTGGGGGCTGGGGAAGGGCCTCAGAGTTGTCCTGCATTCAGACGAGGCAACCTGGACTTTGTTGCCCCACATTGGATGTGGCTGTCCTCAGAAGGGGACACAACCGGGTGCTAGGCAGCTCCTAGGTACAGAAGGCAATTCCAGAAGAGACACCCGCAGCAGCTGGGGACATCAGTGCCTCCTCCTAAAGGGGGTTGTGGCGGCTCCACACAGCACCCACCACAGTGACCTCAAGTGATCGTGGGACTTCTGATGGCTTAAGCGTGATGAGCAAACCTCACCGAGTTGCCGAGAGAGAACTTCCTGCATGGAATAAGCATGTGAGGAGTGCGGAGTCAATACAAAGTTACTTTGTGACCATGTAACCCAGGCGGGTCCAGCCAATGCCACTTGGAGAGTCGAGCCCAGTAACAAGAGCAAAATAGGGTACAAAGTGACTTCATTTACCCCACCTAGCAATGGCGGAGTGGGTGGATTCACTTTAAAAGCAACCACTTTGGCTTTCTGGGGTGAAGGCAAGGGTTTAAGAAGGGAAACTCAGCTGGGCCTGGTGGCTCACGCCTGTAATCCCAGCACTTGGGGAGGCTGAGGTGGGCAGATTACCTGAGGTCAGGAGTTCGAGATCAGCTTGACCAACATGGTGAAACCCCGTCTCTACTAAAAATATAAAAACTAGCTAGGCGTGGTGGTAGATGCCTGTAATCTCAGCTACTTGGGAGACTGAGGCAAGCGAATTGCTGGAACCTGGAAGACAGAGGTTGCAGTGAGCCAAGATCATGCCACTGCACTCCAGCTTTGGTGACAAAGCAAGACTCTGTCTCAAAAAAAAAA